ACTAGGGGCTCCTGGCCTTACTACTAGGAACAAGAACGCTACTAGGGGTTCCTGGCGTTACTACTAGGAGCAAGCACGCTACTAGGATCATTGTTGAATTCTTGCGGCATGTGTTCCGCGCGAAGCCACGAACCTTTTCGCGCGGCCCCAAGGAACTGAAGCCCGGCCAGTCGTGCGCTGTGTGCCGTGGGCGCCCCCAAGGAACTTGGAACTGTTCACCTCACAGCCATCCATGGAAACTGAGAGTCAGATTCCTCGCTTGGCGATCTGAGCCAACCGGGCAAAGGCGTAGAGTTGGAGCCGAAACAGTCTCACATTGCTATATAGTTTTTGTTAAATTTATATATTTATGTATATTTAGTAAATTTTGGTGTTTATATATCCACTTATCAGTTTGTGGCCGTCGTTCAGACAGATGAAACAATATAATTTCTGAATCGGGCAGCTATTTAGGGGTAGCAAGGGGTTGCTAGGGGTAGTTTGCTAACGAGGCTGCGCCACCCAACTGTACAGGTGGAGTGAAGCCTTGGCATTTGTATGCATGTGTGCCGCTGCGTGCGAGCCAAAAGATCATGTTATACTGTAGGTTTTCTGACGGTCAAGAATGTCCTTTCTTTACTGTGACGTTGTGTCTTTCTTTTTGCGCAGCATTGCTCAGTACACTGCTGCAAAGGATGTGATGTAAATATTTAAATATTTCAATGGGTTTTTTCCGACAATGCCAGGCCGACATGCGCAAACACCCGCAAGTGGTGGCACCTGCTTTGGCAGAACTGGTCAAGGCAAATGGTTTTGTTCACCGGAATGCACCGTTAGAATGTTGTCGCCAGGTTGGCTTTGACTTCAATTATCGGCAAAGGCTTATCGGCACTGCAATCAGGTGAGATGGGCCATGTGCACACCTAGCGGCCACAATACACCAACCATAAATACCCAGCACTTCTGTGACTGAGTTGTTTCCCTTTCAGGCCCCTGATTTAGGCACGTGAGAGGCTCCTGACTGAACCATGACTGCTAGGCACGCCAACAGCAGCGAAGCAGAAGTTCGTGGACCACTCGTTTCGGCTTTGCAGGACGTTTGCTTTCGCCAAAAAGTATCCTGACGTGTACCCCATGCACACTTTAATAAATTGATTGAATTGCTATTCTTTTCCCTTCTTGTGTCACCAGAGGATATGTTGGAGGCTGATCAACGCTTGGAGGTCATGTCGTGGAGTTGCAGGGATTGACTCGTGCTTTATGTGGCACATGCCATTCATATGCAATGGTGATCGGTTGGTCTTCATCCAAAGCTCGCAGGCCTCGAAGGAAGCGGTTCTGGCCATTGGCCGAATCGCACAAGCCATGGCTGGAAAAAATGCCAAGGCAGTCCTGAAAAGATCTGAAACGTCTCCTTCATTCTTTTCTTGCAACAAGGCGACAAAACTTCTCAGCCAGAGCATCCTTTTCAATGATTTCAATAGACGCACTTTGCAAACAGCCATGCTGCTACTTGGATTGAAATGGTCATCACAACCAGCCGCCGCAAGACCTTTTTGCAACGCTTGCACGTCAGGGAAACCGAGACATTTTGCGGCACGAGCTTTTGCAGGCAGCGAATCATTTTGGAATACATGATTAGAAGGGAAGCAATTTCTCATGGTTGGTTTGAAACATCAATTGTGTTTCCACCAGGTCCTGCTGCGGCTGCCAGTGGGACGGGCCGATGCTGCCGAGTTGTCAGGGCCAACAGGCTGGTTTTCGCACCTCACAGACCCTTCCACAATTCTCGTGGGGTTTACGTCCAGAGGGTCTTTAAAAGGGTCATGACAAAATGGTCAAAACCACCCAGACAAAATATGACAAAATGGCACTTGAATGATTTTAAACGTGTCGGGTATGCACATTGGTGTCATAGGTCCTATAGGTGTGAATGAGGGAACCCAATAGGACGGAGACTATGCCGCATATAGAAATCGAAGGACGACTAGTGAGCGAAGAGCATCGAAGAGCATCTAATCAATTGCAATGACCCATACTGTGCTCGGATGTCGATGTTTCTCAAGGGGGGCAGGCAAGTCGCGATCGAATGTTGCACGTGGCTTTGATAGGGAATTTCCTGTGGAAATACCGGAAGGACATGATCAAGGTATATAGTTACTTCCGGTAAGTTAGAGCCGTATAGAAACTGTGTGCACATTCTATTCATGATTGGTGCGTTGTATGGTGCACTTTAAGTTGTACGTTTCATGTTCTCAAAGGGCTCATGGCTGACTCAGTGCAGTTGGACAGATCCTGGCACCGGTAACCTTGTACCTTGGCCCATCCACACACCTTGGCCTCACATATTCTGCTTCCACACAACCTTGATGTGCGGTTGAATCAAGTGAATGACTGGATTTCAGCCCTGCCACTTGTGCATTACAGTACATGTGACCTACATCCTCCGACCACCGTCCACCACCATCGGCGCGCGAGGCGATCTCTCAACGGCGGACGACGATGTGAAGCGCGGCCTTGAAGAGGCCTGCAGCGGTTTCCACGCATGAGCGCATGTCAACTAACCCAAAACCGAAATCCATGGAATCCATATGAGTTAGTATTAATCCATGGAACATCGGAGGTTTGAAATTGAACCCGAACAAAATAATTAGGAAGACACCATTAGGAGCTGCTATTTTCCCGAATGCGTAGCGAAGGGTTCTCGTTTAACTCTGGGGGTCTGGGGGTAGAGTCTTGTTCGCGACCCGTTGCTTCTATGTTCGCAACCGTCCGCAACCGTTCGCAACCGTTCGCAACCGTCCGCAGTAGGTCGCTAAGGCGCTGCCATTGGGGGGAAGCTTTTGCAAGTGACTTTTCATGGATGTGTCACGTGTCAGTTTGCGCCGCTATTCCATTGTGATTTGCATGAAAATGACATGCCGCGCAAGAAACGTGATGCGTTTCGCTGCACAGGCGCAGCGTTTTGTGAGATCTGCAGATTGCTGTGCAGTTCCATTGGGATTAGCGTTTGGAGAGTCGTGTTTTTGGGGTGTTGGATGTGGCTGTGCCATTGGGATTTGCGTTTCAGGGTGTGGCATCGAAGCTCTGTTTTCGTGACAAGTCTCAGCTGAAATGCCGATTTTGGTGGATGGGAGTGTGCTCAGAACGGGTCGAAATCATTCCAAACGTGTGGTGTGGTGCAAATTTTGTTGAAGCTCACATGAGACGATATTGTCACTTTTCGTGGCAGGCGCAGTACTTTGTGCGGCTTTTGAGGTGTGGAAGTGCGATTCTCGTGGCAGGCGCAGGGAGTCGTGAGGTTGCGAGGTGTGACGGAGGTGACATTTCGTGGCAGGCGCAGTACTTTGTGCGCGTTAGACGTGTGGGCGCGGAAAGATTCGTGGCAGGCGCAGGGAATCGGGAGGTTGTGAGTTGTGGTAGAGGTGAATGTCGCTGTCACATTGGGATTGGCGTGTGAGCGGGTGTCGCTTGGAGGGGCTGGAATCGCGAAACTGCTTGGCAGGGCTGCGTGATGTGTGTGCTCCGATGGGTGTTTCCGCTGGACTTTTGGAGGAAGTCTCGTGCGAAACGTTCGTTTTGCAGACTTTGACATGTGAGTTTTTGAGGAAGTATCGTACAAAACGCTCGTTTTGGAGACTTGACGTGTGACTTTTGGAGGAAGTCTCGTACGAAACGCTCGTTTTTGAGACTTGACGCGTGACTTTTGGAGGAAGTCTCGTACGAAAAGCTCGTCTTGCAGCCTCGCAGCGTGACTTTTGGAGGAAGTCTCGTACGAAGAGTGTGCCCTACAGGAGTGTCCCACAAGAGTATCCTACAAGAGTGTCCCACAAGAGTGTCCTACAAGAGTATCCCACAAGAGTTTCCTACAAGAGTGTCCCACAAGAGTGTCCCACAAGAGTGTCCCACAAGAGTCTCCCACAAGAGTGTCCCACAAGAGTGTCCCACAAGAGTGTCCCGTATGAGTGCCCCACAAGAGTGTCCCACAAGAGTGTCCCGCATGTCCCACAAGAGTGTCCTACAAGAGTGTCCCACAAGAGTGTCCCGTATGAGTGTCCCACAAGAGTGTCCCACAAGTGCGTCCCACAAGAGTGTCCGACAAGAGTGTCCAATAAGAGTGACCCACAAGAGTGTCCTACAAGAATGTGCAACAAGAGTGTCCCGCAAGAGTGTCCCACAAGAGTGTCCTACAAGAGTGTCCCACAAGAGTGTCCCACAAGAGTGTCCCGTAAGAGTGTCTCACAAGAGTGTCCCACAAGAGTGTCTCACAAGAGTTAAGAGTGTCCTACAAGAGTGTCCCGCAAGAGTTTCCTACAAGAGTGTCCCACAAGAGTCCCCCACAAGAGTATCCCACAAGAGTGTCCTACAGGAGTGTCCCACAAGAGTGTCCCACAAGAGTTTTCTACAAGAGTGTCCCACAAGAGTGTCCCACAAGAGTGCCCTACAAGAGTGTCCCACAAGAGTGTCCTACGAGAGTGTCCCACAAGAGTTTCCTACAAGAGTGTCCTGCAAGAGTGTCCCACAAGAGTGCCCCACAAGAGTGTCCTACGAGAGTGTCCCTTAAGAGTGTCCCACAAGAGTGTCCCGCAAGAGTGTCCCGCAACAGTGTCCCACAAGAGTGTCCTACAAGAGTGTCCCACAAGAGCTTCCTACAAGAGTGTCCCAGAAGAGTGCCCCACAAGAG